AAAAGAGTAAGTTTTTTCAGTTGCCCAAAGGTGAAAGTTAGGTGCTTGTGGCACCAGGGCACTTCTGGAGCACAGCCCTGCCCAATGTGACAAGCTTATGGCAAAACCACAACACATGTTGCTTCATGGAAATCAAGTCTTAACAGCATGCTACACAATGTTTTTGGATTTTGAAATTGTTTTTAAAATTGTTTTAAATTCCAGTGATGAAGCTAGTGCAAATATTGTCAAATATGAGAGTTTTTAAATGAGTTTTGCATGAATATTTGATCAATGTGTGCGGCATAATGTCAACTACAGAAATGTAGTGTAGCAAAATAAATTTGAGGGAGAGTTCTATCAAATGACATCCTTCAACTGGACAGCCACTTGTCCATTCACTGAGGGTGGTAGCTAATAAATATAGGCTTGTGCTATATATATGACACTTCCATTCAGTATTGATTTTATAACATCAATTTGCATGTAGCCATAGTTTGCACTATTCCCTTTTAATATTTAAATAGCTCTTGGGGTGCAAAGGTTTTTGTTTCTTCAAAATCATTGTGTTTTGTTCAGATTTTAAAACTGCACATTTACAGGCCTATTCTCATCAATTAGCAAATTTCAATTAGCAAGTGTCAAATTAACTTTGCTAACAAATACCTACATGTAGGTCTGCACACAGTTTAATTTCTGAACAATACAATTTAATTGGCAAGAAAATCTTAGTCACTTTCTAATTGTGTTTAGTCTTCCTGTGCCTTGTAGGTTTCCCTATTGTGTCCATGATATCCTTTATTCCTTTCCCTTCAAATTCTTATCATTGTTATGCAAAATTGACTTCATTTTTGGAGGCATTCAACCATAAATGAATATGCCCTTCGTGAAAGATTCAACTTTTAACTTCCATTTCTTAATGTATTTGCTCTGTAGTAGCAATTTATGACCATAGATTATTTGATTTTCAAATGGTTCAAAACAGTTTTTGATTTTGAAAACTAGAAGAACGTTATGAGTTCATTCAAATGCCAAACTTGCTGGTTTGACATTCTAATTTTCATAAATGGATTTCATTATGGTATGCTCAAACATGTTTTGATGGCTCTGTAAAC